TTCTCGGGCAGAAGTAGCTCCTGGGCGGGTGAGAAGCCAATTTCGTCGTACACTGACCGAGGGTCGGCCACCGGGTGCAGCGACTCGATTACCGGGTCACGGGTAATTATTCCAGGAAAGGGATTCAGCGGCTCCAGAAAGTCTTCTCCTGTTGATGATGCTAGCANATTTCGTCGTACACTGACCGAGGGTCGGCCACCGGGTGCAGCGACTCGATCACCGGGTCACGGGTAACTATTCCGGGAAAGGGATTCAGCGGCTCCAGAAAGTCTTCCCCCGTTGTTGNGTTTTGAAGAACACTGCAAGCGGCGGTCAGCTCCTGGAGCAGGCACTTCTCGGGCAGAAGTAGCTCCTGGGCGGGTGAGAAGCCAATTTCGTCGTACACTGACCGAGGGTCGGCCACCGGGTGCAGCGACTCGATTACCGGGTCACGGGTAATTATTCCAGGAAAGGGATTCAGCGGCTCCAGAAAGTCTTCTCCTGTTGATGATGCTAGCAAGCCGGAGCTGTTTAGATAGGAGAGGAGGAAGTTGTTTGAGGAGTAGGGTTCGGGAGTTTCCGGAGGTGATGATGATTCAGTGGAAGCGGCAGTGTAGTCGTGGTCGTCCTTTGCTGTGTTGAACTTGTCCTGATGAAAGTCCTTTAAATGTGAAGGCTTTTTTGTGTGTTCAGTGGCGGATGATGATGGTGATGATGAGGAAGAGGAGGAGGAGGAGGAGGAGAAGGAGTTCTCTCTGAAGAGCTCCTCCTCACCACTGTTCAGCAGCAGCAGCTCATTGCAGAACTGATCAAGGTAGGGGTCCATTGGCCATTCAGGGTAGTCACCGCCGTCTCTGCCCCCGCAACCACCAATGTACAGATCATCGTACTCTGATTTGGCCAACAGGCCGGGAAAGTAGCTGTCCGGCCCCAGAACGGAAACGCTGCACGGGTCGGCGGCAAACTGCTCAGAGTCCTTCTCAATCTTGAGCAGCTCTTCAGCCTGTTGTTGTTTAAGCAAGTACTCCACAGTAATGGAGTTGTCGCCTTCACAGTGAGAAGTGGATGGTGATGTGCTGCCATTGCTCTTTGAAGAGGAGGAGTTTGAAATGACCGAGGACTTTCGTTTCCTCCTTGGCGTAGCCTTAGATTTTTGCTCTCGGTGGAGGCGGTTCTGGGCGATCTTCTCGCGCATCTTCACCCGCTGCTCCTCCGTGAGAATGTTCTCCTTGAGCATTCCCATTCGGAAGCATTTTTTAAGTCTGCAAGCACTGCAGAACTTACGCCGAACTTGATCAATCGGGCACTGCCCGACGAACGGACACTTCAGCTGCTCCTTTTCATTGCGAGCATGTCGCCGGAAGAAAGCCTTACCTAGTGAAAAAAAATTAGAAAAAAGGTTAGTATCATGAGCTGAATTTTAGTAGTTTAATTACTGATTTTTCACTTACAACTCATGCACGTCTGGCAACCAAAATTGATGCCTATGGCACCCTCACCGCAAATTGCACAAAGTCGAGTTGAAGATGATGAAGTTGAAGTTGAAGTTGAAGTTGAAGTTGAAGTTGAAGTTGATGAAGATGAAAAGAAAGAAGCATATTTGCTTGTAGTTGTCTTTCGGCGAGCCATATTTTTCTCCTTAGTAGTGGTCACACTGAGATTTTTTTAGAGTTTAAAATTAAAATTAAGAGAGAGCCTGACTAAGCAAGAAAGAAGAAGTCTGATGAGGAAAAGAAGACGACGACAGAAAAGACTAAAAGTTGACAGAAGAAAAAGAAGAAGCAACAGCAGCAGCAGCAGCAGCAGTATGCTCCTTCGGTTTTGTAGTAAAAGAAAAAACTTGTTTTAGTCTGCCGTTTAGCGTTTTGTACTTGTACTATGTACGTCGGTCGGTCTTTCTCTCGCCAGTACTGCGCTAATATATTCAAAATGTGACAGTGTGAGAGAGAGAGGAAGGTTGTTTCAATTGATTAGATAAAAAAAACTGACTGTCGCTTGTGGACGAGCCACAGTCTCAAAAACTGGAAAAAATAGAGAGTAAAAGAACGACACCGAAGTACAATATGAGGTTGTGTGGCCTGGTACTACTACTACTACTGAAGTGGTATATCACCATTTTTCAATATCATTTTATGAACGCAGCAAAGGCATTCTAAACTTCTACTTTTTTAGTTTAGTTTTTTTACAACAAACAACAAACAAGAACAACAGCAGCAATCAACTCAACAAATTGCCAAAAAAATGCTAATAAACTGAAAAGCGCAAAATCNTGGTGAACGCAGCACAAGCATTCTAAACTTCTACTTTTTTAGTTTAGTTTTTTTACAACAAACAAGAACAGCAGCAGCAATCAACTCAACAGATTACCAAAAAATGCTAATAAACTGAAAAACGCAAAATGAGTTTGCATTTTAATGTAGTGCACTGGAAATTTAAATTGGTGTGACATGTGCTGATTTGCGTCGCTGATTGGAGGATGATCAGTTAGCAGTTAGCCGATGATCAGCAGAGTGTGTACGGCATGTAATGTAGTAGTACGGCATTTTACTGCTTATGATGATGATGGTGAGAGTGATGAGGGTAATTGAAAAGCAGTACATCAGCATCAGAAGACAGCACTGATTGGGCGCCACTTTATCGCCACTTCAGAGGTCTCATGAGGACTCTCTTAGTGGTGAAAATGAAGTTCTAAATGTACTTTCGCTTTTGTGTTTGCCAGTGCTGCTGCTGATGCTGATGCTGCTGCTGCTGCCACTGATGGTCACCGATTAGACGCACTAATCAGTCTGTCAGGGCTGAGGACTTTGAGGACTGAGCTGCCGCTTGTGTTGGTGGTGTGTTAGTAGTAGGTCTGCAAACTTGTAGACGACTGCGCCTTGTAGAACATCGATTAGATTGTCGATTTTTTTGGGTGGCTGTTTTTCTGGTTAAAGCAGTCAGTCAGTCAGTCAGTCTGTTTGTTTGTCAGTCTGATTTTTGCTGTTGTAGCTGTTGCTGCTGCGACCTGGTCTCCAAGGTTTTCGAGTCTGTTCAAACTCAGTTCAGCAGATAAAAGAGAAAAAAGTGCAATTTTCGGACAATGCCCCTACATGTGTCATCTGTTTTACCAGTCACTAGTGTTCAAAGTTTTTTATAAGTCAAATTTAATCAATGTTTGGCGACTAACAAAATAATTATTTTAAAACTACAAAATTTTTTTAATCAATTAACTTGACAGTTGCTAGCAAACTAGCAGTTTATAATAACAAATTTTAATTCAAAAACTTATTAATATTTTAATGGCAGTGACGTTTTAGGTGATTGTTTAGTTGATAGCTTATCTTTATTTTGATTTTGATTTTTTTTGTTTCAACTATGATAGTCATTTGCATTTGAAGAACTACAATTTTATTACTGTTTTAAAAATGTTTTTGTCACGGAATTTCTTCCGCGATGATGAGAAAGAGAGAGAGAGGAGTGAGATGGGCGCGGGCGCGGGTGTTGGTCCGGTGTATACACAGAGAAATGGGTCTCAGATATATCTGAAAATTACTTAAATTTTTACACTGATATGAAAAATTTTCATGTCAGTGTAAGAAAATCCAAACCAAACAATTTCTCGGATTGGTCTAAAAAATTCTCATATCAGTCAAAGGTTTTTCTTATACTGGTGTGATAAAAAAAATTGCTAAAAATATATTTTTCAAAATTCTCAGACTGGTCAAAAAAAATTATTTTTTTGCATATAAATGAAAATTCGGACTTTGACAATTTTTTGCAATCTAGATTCTTAGACCAGTCTGAGAATTATCAATAACGCTGTTTATGAATAACTCATTTTTGGCTGTTGAATCAAAACAAAACAGCGCTAGCTCCGAGTCACTCAGCAAGAAACGCAATCAAACTCGCGTCGACCCATTCTGATTGGAACCACTATCTTGTCCCATCTATCACTCGATAAGCACTACACACTTTTAGAGTATCTTTTGTCACCATTTTCAAGTTGTTTGTCTATACAACCGTAAACTTCAAACCGTGTTGCATGTCATCATGATCATCATAGTCAGTCAGACGGATAACAACATTGAGTAAGCGTTTCAAGTTGGCCTTTGTTCCCTAGGTCTTTGTGGAACTTCAAACTTTCTGCTCAAGAGAAATCACCTCTGCTCCTTTTTAAACGTCTGCCCCGACTACCCGTGCAAAGAAACGCCATTAAAATGACTGACTCTCAAGATCGAGCTTCTTCAGTAGACCAAGAAGGTTTCAATCATAAGTCAATCAAAGGAAGTTTCTATAGTGATGTTCTTAATTCTGATCAGCTCCAAAGTAATAACTTCTTGTTTTTTCAGGACATGCTCATAATCAAAAGGAAGACTCAAAGCAAGAGTAGGAATGACCACCCATGACCACCTTTTTGAGATCATTTAAAAGTACTTTATCTCATGATTTCTGTTCACTATTTTGTATTTTGTACGAGTAAAGTTTGTCAAATAAAGTTTGTTTTTGAAAAATATTACAAGTTTTAAAACTCAGAAATATATGAAAATCTAGTTTTTGCAAATATCTGAAAAACGGTTTCTTACACTAGTATAAAAATGCTATGTGTCAAAATATAGCTGTTTTTCTCATACTAGTCTAAGAAAAATTTTTAGACTGGTCCAAGAAAGGAACGAATTCTCAGATATATCTGAGACCCACTTCTCTGTGTGGATGGTTTGTGGCGCGAAGCGACACTCACACCCTTGTTAAAATTAAAAAACAACAAATGTCACATTTCAAAAATGCAATTTATTAAAGTTCGTCAAAATTTTCTTCAATTTCATTAGTGTTAGTTTCATCAATCCAGCCGTAGTATATTTTTCGAGCATTTTCAAATGTATTGTGAATCATTTGCAACAATTTACAATACATATCAAAACCAAAATCTTCAGTATATGTGACTTCAAGATAGCGTTGTAAAAGATAACAATTGACAGCGTATGCATATCTGATTTGAAATAAAAATGACATTAGACAAAACGACATTTTAACATTACATTTACCTTAAATACTCTGATTTAATATAATAGTGCAAAGAAAGTGCTATTGATACAGAAGAAATCTAAAGTAAAAAACAAAACAGTTTACCAATAACTAAAAAATATTTTTTAAATTGTTTTACCAAGTTTGTAACTGTTTCATCGTTTAACATAAATTTGTTTAAATTGATAACAATTGCCATATTTTCATCAAGCCCATCCTTGTCGTCAATTGCTTCATGCAACGAGTTTGCTTTCATTTTGTATCCTATTTTAGATGTTTCATCCTGTTACAAAAATGTACAAAAATTTTAAATTCAAAATCACAATTAAATTATTTTAAACATACTGGAAAAACAACATAGGTTTCCTCAACTGGGTCATAACTGGCAGCACATCTAATGGCTGCAAAAGCATAACTTGCATGTTTAATGATGTCTATTTGTTTGTTCTTTGGAAACGATTTAAAAAGGTCTACTCTCATGAGATAACGAAGCATTTGCCGAATATATGCCTGCATATTAGCAATTGGCAAATTTTCCATTAGTTCATTTGAATTAATATCAGAAAAATTCAGTTGTGATTCATTTACAAAATATTTGAAAGAAAAGTTGACATTTTTGATACATTGCAACTCATAATTGCTTAAAGTGTTAGACTTGTTGAGCGCCTGTCTTAAACGCGGCAAATTTTCGATTTCTTTGAATATGACTGAAACTTGTTTTCTACTTTTGGAAATTGTTTTAGATGTTTTCATGCCAATATTTAAGCATTTTTCATAACGACATTTTGAACACTCTTTTCTTGTTTCTTTTGTGATAACGCAATTATTGCTTTTAAAACAAATTAATTTCTATAAAACAAAAGTCAAATTAATTTAAATTTAACAAAAGATTGTTTGACTTGCGTTGTTTTTTTCAACGTTTCGGTAAAAAAACATGCGACATGATTTACATGATAAATCACCGTTGTAACTGTAACCTTAACAACAAAAAAATTATTTTTTTAATTGTATTTAAAAACTACTTACAGTTAGCAAAATCTCCACAAACTCGACAAGTCTTAACTGGTTTTTTATTCATTTTAAAAAATTATTTACAATTTTAATATTTAAAATTAAATAAATTGTTTTTCATTATTTTCAAAAGATTGTTTGTTTTTAATGTTAAAGTTATGACAAAATTGAATAAAACAAATTACGACAATGAAGTGGTAAAAACAAGCATGTTTCATTTTTCGTTTAGCAAAAGCTTTAAATACTATCTTGCAATTCTAGAAAAGATATATTGTTGAAGGTCACACTGTTCAAAAAATGTCCTACACCTACCCTTTGCATTTTCAGACTAAGAAACTAATGCAAATCACAAAAGTTTTTTAATGCTCATGTGGTTGATAAAACAGTACGTGTATACAACTTTAGTAATGCATTATGTAACAAAAACAAGTAAAATAAAATGCCATCAAATACACCACGCCAAAGACAAAACTAACATTTAAGTGCACAGTATAACTCTTTTTTGTTCATTAATAAAAATTACCCTTTCTACACACCTTCTTTTGAAAATGATTTGCTAGATAATTAACTAAAACTCGTTTTTAGCCTAGTATAAGTGCCGCTTTAGAAAGTGTATATCATTAAATAATGTTTTGTTATTTGGTATATAAATGTTTTTAAAAAACATTTTTAAAACTAAAAAATTATTCATTTGTCCAAAAACAAAACAAAAAAAGTTTAGTTTGCATAACTTTATTGTGCATTATAAATAAAGAGTGTTTATTGTGTTTAAATGTTTGGTAAGTACTATTTAATAGCCGCCACCGCCGCCACCACCGCCCATTTTTCCTCCTCCATAGCCTCCGCCACCTCCTCCTGCAATAAAGTTTTGCATCGGTTAGTTTTAGTTATGATTCACAATATGTAAACATGTCCATACCTCCACCGTATCCGCCACCGCCGCCGCCACCGCCCATTTTGCCACCACCATATCCTCCTTTTAATAGAATCATTAAAGTTAGCTTTAAAAACTATACAAATGGTGAAAATACTTACCACCACCACCACCTCCCATTTTGCCTCCACCATAACCTCCGCCACCTGTTTTCAAATTTATTTAAATGTTGATTAGAGAGGGCACTTTAAATTTAAAAGAATAAATCTTACCGCCTCCACCACCGCCCATGCCGCCGCCGTAGCCGCTAGCTGAAACCATCGCAACGATGATCGCAAAAACAGCTGTGGTCAAATAGAATCTCATTTTAAATACTTTGTAAATGGTGCTGATTGATCTGAAGAGAATTGCTTTTTTTCTGATGACTCAAAAGTTTTTCCAGTAGAGCTTATATACTAAATCTATCTTTGGTTCACTTACAACAAAGGCGGCAGGTAATTGAGGAAATGCAAGTTGAAAGAGCAAAAGAGCTCTGCACTAAAGTGAGGCTTTCCTTGAGAGGGCATGACTTCTCTACTTTTTTTCTGAACTTTCATTGTCTAGACGGCAAAAAGGGCTGTATACAAGAAGCGCCGATGTGAATCGGTAATGATGTAAAGTTGCAGAAGATTGAGATGGTTGCCTTGCAAGTTTGGCTTTACCTGCAGTGCTGTTTACAGTGCTTGTGCACGTATTGTGTAAATTGCGCAAGGATAGGAGAAAAGGAGAGAAAATGACTTACTCCTTGTGCTGAAAAGTACTTAAAAGAGTTAACCTTCACGGTAGTGTGCTATGTTTGTTGACAACTGCCCTCAACTGCTGATGTAATTTTCATTACCGCACTGAGTAGCGGTGGACAGTGTTCTGAGTCGACAATGTAAGCCCACTTAGGACAGGCAACAATTATGAAGAGTTATACTGCTGTAAAAAATAGCAGTTGCTCGTTAGCCATGACAATTTTTTTTCTATTTTTACTTTGCACATCCTTTGCAATTATAGCATTTGCTTAACATTGAACTATTTATAATTTTGGTATTGTAAAATAGTCGTTTAACTTAAGCGTGTAAAGGTTAATTGTTTTTCTTTTATGACTTGTTACTATTTTCAAATTAAGTATATTTGTTTTAAAATTAAAAATTAAAAAAAGTGTTTTAATAATTAAAATATTTAATAACTTAATCTAACTTAAAAAACTTTTTTAATTAATTAATGTTTTAAAAAATGACATACGTTGTATGCGTAGGGTTATGGCTAAAAAAACGTTATTTTGGCCGAACAAAACATTTATTTTTGCACTGTTTACATCATTGTGATTTACTTGATGCTTTTGCACACTTTTTAATTGGTATTTGCCATTCAAGTCATTATGTCGACAGTGTTCAAGAAATTTCGAACTGGCATTTTTTCTGCTGGCGCGTTTGCTCTTGGATTAGCCACTGAAAGACACTTTCACTTGTACGCCGATGCCCCTGATCAACCTATTCATTCGGTTGATACTGTTGACGGATTTTTGCCTGGCAAACCAGGAAATGTCGGCGTCACTGAAAGCTATACTTCACGTATTGCACGTTTTGGGTTTCCTACATTAGATTCTTTAAGATCGTACCCAAACTTTGTTGTCAGTTATGACCGCCGAAACCGCATTTCCAATTGGGTTATGGAACACTTAACCCGAGAAAACTTAAAATCTGATTCATATGATCGAAAAGGTATTGAGTTTGTTGAAGATAAATCAGTTCATCATTTTTTTCGTGCCACTAATCAAGACTACAAGGGTTCAGGTTATGATCGGGGTAAATTTTTGTTTTATTATGCTTAATTTTTTTAAAATGGTAATAAAATTGATATTTTTTGTTTAGGTCACCTTGCAGCGGCAGGCAACTATCGATCCAATCCTGAACACATAAAAGAAACTTTTGTGCTCTCAAATGTTGCTCCACAAGTTGGAAAAGGATTTAACCGAGACAAATGGAATGAACTAGAACAGTATTGCCGTAAAAAGGTCCACGAAGTCGGTCAAGCCTGGATTTGCACTGGCCCTCTTTTTTTACCACAACGTGATCCGTCTAATGGAAAACTTATGATCAAGTATGAAGTAATCGGACATAATCACGTTTCTGTTCCAACACATTTTTTCAAGATAATTCTATATGAATCTCGCGGAACCTATTTTATGGAAAGTTTCATGCTTCCAAACACTGTTATTCCTGATGAGAAACCTTTGAACATGTTTCGCATTGATCCTGAAGTCATTGAAAGATCTGCTGGTATTATTCTTTTTAACAGATTGCCACGCAATCAGATAAAGTTGATCAAATAAATTTAAAATGACTTCTTATTTTACAATTTATAAAATATTTATTTTAAAAATAATAAACAACTATTTATTGATACAACAACAAACTTGTGTGCTTATTTTTTCAAACTAACAATCTAAAACGTTTAACTATAAAAATGCTTGTAAACAAAAGTTTTGTTTCCTAAGTTGTCAGAATGCAATATTGAATGACACAAATTGTAGTTTTTCTTTATTTAAACATTAAGTGCTTTCAACTACTACAAAAGTTACTGCTAGAAAATAAAAAGCTTAGTTTTTCGGTTTTCCACTTTGATAGCGTGCCGAAACGTCCTTCCAGTTGGCCACCTTCCAAATGGCGTTCACGTAATCAGGCCGGACATTCTTGTACTGCAGGTAGTAGGCGTGCTCCCAAACGTCAATGCCAAAGAGGGGCACCAGGCCAGTGGTTGCCTCCAGCGGATCCTGGTTGGGACAGGCAACCGCTCGAAGGCGACCCGACTGCGGACAGACGCCCAGCCAGGCCCAGCCGGAGCCCTGAACGGCAATTGCCAGCGCTGACACCTTTGCCTTCATGTTCTCCAGTGAGCCAAAATCAGCCTTGATGGCGGCCAACAGCTCAGCCGACGGCTCTCCGCCGTTGGCCGACAAGTTCTGCCAGAAGATGCTGTGATTGATGTGCCCGCCGCCATTGAAACGAATGGCAGGTTCCAGCTGAATGATAGTTTTAGTGTCATCTGTAGTAGTCAAATAGGGAAAATTAAGTATTAGTTAGACTAACATTTAGATGAATAAAAAAATTTAAATGCAGTTAAAAAGTATATGCATTTGTTAACTTGCTTTTTGACTTTGCTTCTTCAAGTTTCTCCAGTGAAACGTTCAAGTTGTTAACGTAAGCTTGATGGTGCTTAGAATGATGCAATTGCATGATTTCAGCAGAGATCACCGGCTCAAGAGCATTGTAATCATAGGGCAAATCCGGCAGTGTTGCCTTTCCACGGCTAGCAACAGAAGTAATCAATGGGCGAACCAGAGACAGTCTAGACGTAAACAATAATACACTTTAGTCAAAGAAAGCAAGTAAAAGAATGACAACCACAAACCGGCTAACAGCTCCAATTGACTTAGTAATCTGAAGGAGAACCATTATGAGTTGTGTTGAAGCGCTGACACTCAATGACAAAAGTTAAAACAAAAAATAATAAAAACACACTTTAACTTGTGTACCCACAAATGTGCAAAACAGCGGTAAGGTCGTTTTGCAGTGTATTGGAAGTAGCGCTGCAGAGCGTATTTAGAAAAAAGCGGTAAAGAAAAGAGCTCACATTTTAGCGTAAGCACTTTTTAAAATCAAAATATTGACAAAAAATTGCCATCTAGGGAGATTTTGACAAATTAACCAGTTAAACACTAAAACTTTAATAAATGCAAAAAATATTGTACATTTTGCATTTTAGTTTATAAAATGTTTGTTATTATCAAGTTTTAAAAATTTTTATTTTTTAACATATGTTTTTGCTAAAAACTAGCATTTAATTTCTAACCAAAAAAGTATTTTTATACATAAACACGCCTAACACATCAAACATCTGTTAACTCAATTAAATTTTCTGTTTTATTGAAAGTAACTTGTACATAATTAACATATTGATTAAAAATATGCACTTTACTACAAGCATAAATTTTTCTGAACAAGATGCAAAAATTTTATCTATGTGTGAGAGAAAAACAGGTTCAAACGTAAGCAATGTTATAAATACGGAAAAAGTTGTAATTAAAAAACAAAAATGAAATTTTTCTGAAACTAGTTCTAAATTGTTTCAGCACAACAAGAAAACATTGTGTGAATTTTTTTATTTTGTTTTGATAAATATTAAACTGTTTTGAGTAAACAATGTCTGCAATAAACTTAACATCTATAAATTTACTAATTTTGCTTGTTGTGTTTAATTTGGTAAACACTTGCAAAGAACTTTGGTTTAATGAGTGTGAAAACAATGAACACTGTTGTTCCGGATTTTGTGACAAACTTGAAACCTGGGTGCATGGTGTTTGCAAAGTGAGAAGTATGTTTAAACAAACGTTTTTAATTTTAATAAATAATTTACACAATGTTGTTTTACAGGAGAATGTCATCCAGATTACTTTAACAAATGTCAAATTGACTTGGAATGTTGCTCAAAATTTTGTGATCGAGGTCCAAATCAGAATTGGCAGTTTGGTGTTTGCAAAAATATAACATTACCAGGTAAAAACTTTTATTTTTGCAATTTTTATAATAACCAATTGTGTAATAGAATGCCAAGCACTTTATTACAACAAATGCACAGAAGACTCTGAATGTTGCTCAGAAAGATGTGATCGAGGCCCAAATGGAGATTGGGAATTTGGAGTTTGTAAAACTAAAGAAGTCAAGTTTAACAATTTATCAGGTAATAATGTTTTTTTTAAAAAAACGTTTACTCAAATGTTTTTTAAAGGAAAAAATGGATCTTGTCATCAGTTGTGGTACAATGGTTGCACAAATTCAAATCAATGCTGTTCTGAATATTGTTTCAAAGGAAACAACGAAGACTGGGAATTTGGTGTTTGCAATCCAAAAATAAATTCTACTAAAAGTATTAAAATTTTTGAAAATATTACTGAATCTACTTAATTTTTTTGCAATTTTTTTGAAAATATCATGTTTACTTTTTAAAAATACAATTTTTTTACTAAAATAAAAACCAGTTCAAATTACAAAAAAAACTGTGAGATACAAAATTTGTGAGTTTGTTTGTGTTTGCCGACAAAAATTTTAAAAATTAGTTGTAAAACACAAAGCGGACGTTTTAATCTACTTTATTCATTTAGAAATGTTAATAGTTTTTTAAATTGCACTGTGTATAAAGCTATTATTGTTTGTTATACTGTTTAGACAATGCAAAACACTGACAAACATTGCACTGATTTGTTACAAAACGCAACATAAAATGTTTTATTAATTTAGACTAAAGGGCAATGTTATAATTAGTTCAACAAAATTATAATGCAATAATGTAGTAATTAAAAATTGTTGCTTAATTAGGTGATTAAAAACAACATAACAATTTTAAAACATATTTTTGCTCAAACAATAAAATTTTTTTATTGCAACAAAAACATTTCAAAACTAGTAAAGCAATGCGTATTTAAAAACTAATTTTTAATAATGAAATGTTTTTAAACAGTTTTTTTGTTAACTTGTTTTAGTTTAAAACTAAAAAATTTAAAAATTAATTTATTAAAATTAATTTAATTTAACTTTAATGAAATGTCTACACAAAACGAGCAAATTACTAAAGTTCAAAATATCAACAAAACGTCATTTTTTATTCGTGATCTTCTTTTAAAAAACACCAAAATAAAAAATAAAAATGAAAATGAAAACTTTTTTAAAAAAAGTAATCTAGTATTTTACTCAAATTATAAAATACTTAAAACGTTTATCTGTTTATAGGTTGCCTTAATGATAAAAATGAAATAAAAAAAATTAGCACAGAAACAAATGTTGCTCATTATGCCAAAACAAATTTTAAAAAGCTTAGAAAGAGTCGAACTGCTTTTACTCAAGTTAGTAAATCAAAAAAAATTATTTTAATTTCAATCACAATGTTTTAAATTATATTTTAGTCTCAAATCATTTATTTAGAAAAACATTTTAAAGAACAAAAATATTTGAATGTTGCAGAAAGAGGAGTATTGGCCAAACAACTTAACTTATCTGAAACGCAAATTAAAACTTGGTATCAAAACAGAAGGTAGTTGTAATATGTTTATTATGTTTTAAACAATTTAAAAACTTGTTTGATTTGCTTGATTTAAGGACTAAATGGAAACGACTAAATAATATCACTAAAAATGAATGCAACAAAAATAACTTTCAAATGGAATCTAATCAGATATCAAAGAATTTTAACTTTTTTGAGTCAAGTAAAATTAATCAACATAATCTTTTTGATCAATTAAACATAGATTTATTTCAATTGCAAAACAACAAATTGTTGTTATATCAAACATATGTTCATCAAATACTTGAAAACTTTAAGTTTTCTTGAAAATGTTTTGTTCACTCAAGCTTTGAATAATATTTAATTTTAAACACATTTTTTTTTAAATTAATATTTTTTTAATTTATTTGTTTAATTTTTTTTGTAATTTTTTTGTTTTAAAATAAACTTCACAATAACATTGTCAGTGTTGTAGTTAAAAAAATTATGTTTTTAATGTATGTTAACAGATGTCACTAGCTATTGTATTTTTTAATAAAAAGTTTTTTGTTTGCTACCTTAATCTTTTAAGCTACTTTTACAAATAAAAACTGTTTTTAACGGGTAAATAATTATGATAAAAATAATAAACATTTTCAGTCAATTAAAAATGTTTTGGTTTATTTACACTTTGGCTATGCTGGTGTTAGTTGACTTCGTTTCGCTCGGTGTTTTTGTGAGTGACAGTCTAGGATTGGGTCAAAATTGGTGGAAAGTTTTGCCTTGTTCAGCCTAATTCTTTTAAACGACTGTACTAATTGCTACCAAACTTGGCACAGTAACAGCTAAGTAGTAAAAGACGAGGAATTTGTTTTCAAATTCAAAAAACTCCCAGCCGTTTGGGAGCTAGGGCCGGTCAAATAAAACAAATTTTTTTGTGGGAAAAATACATGGAAACATTGCGTCATCGCTCGCGAGGAAGAGGGTGGCTTGTCTAGCAAAAGGCTTTTTAACGGCTCAACCAATCGTTCCCAAATTTGACACAGTAACAGGTAAAGGCAATAGGACAAGGAACCTGCTTTCAGATTTAAAATCCACAAAGTACTTTTTGAGCTAGGGCCCTTCAAAGTTAACTTAAGTTTTCTTATAGACAATACGTTGAAAGCGTGCGCGCACGTGGCGTGTGCAGCCAAAGGCAGCGCTACTGTGAACTGTGCTGCTAGTAAACGTTGCGCGCGCATACAGGGGAGAGTTGTGGCTGTGGAGGAGCAGTGAACTGCACAAGGCGGCGATGTTTGACGCGACTTGACCGATCATCAACGTCCACCGACTAGGGTCTCCCGAGCAAAGCCCGAAAAGTTGGGCGTTGGCCATTGTGCGCGTCGGGTGAACCGGCGGCTAAAAAATCAATGCATGCTAGCGGTGCACGATTAAAGGCGGCGAGGTCTGGCACCACTTGAACACTTAAAACTTCCGCTGCCTCGGAATGCATCGGAAGTTTTAAGTGCNCGGCGAGGTCTGGCACCACTTGAACACTTAAAACTTCCGCTGCCTCGGAAGGCATCGGAAGTTTTAAGTGTTCAAGCGATGTCGGGTGAGCCGCCGGTAAAGTGATCGCCAAACCCTAGCAGTGCACGGTTTAAGGCGGCAAGGTCTGAGCGAGGGGGGCCCGAGATTTAGGGTTGTGTTTAGGGGTAGGTGGGGTTTGTGGGACGCACCTACTCGTTCCAGTTAAAATCTACTGGTAGAACACCTGGAGATCCCCTAGTTTTTTTATAAACAGTTTATGGTATTTTTTGTATTTTGTATATCAACTATCTAAAGCATTTTAAAACTAAAAATGATCATTGCTTTTTTCATTAGAACTTCATAATGAATGTTCAAGCAACAAATCAGTGACAAAATCGTTTTTCAATAGACTACTGCATCGGTATTGTTTTTTTCTCACAGTGTGAGCCGTTAGTTGAGAATAGAAACATAGTTTACTTGTGCAACTGTTTTTTGTTTTTGTCTTTTCCTTTTGTTTTGCTGTTTTTTCCGTTCATTTTTTCTATTACCTGACCACTCTAGAGGTTTTTGTTCTACTTTTCTAAACTTTAGTCGTGAAATCAATCACCGTTTGATTGTCAATTATCGACAGACACACATACTGTGAAAAGGAGAAAAAGAGAGGACAACCGTTGACCTTCAGTTTAGGGTCAGGCAGTGTTTTACTGCACCGGTTACCAAAAAACAGTTAAAATTCATTTAATTAGTGGTGCATTGTTTGTTTTTAAAAATGCTGTCATGCAATGTTTTGGTTTTGAATGTTTTAATTGTATTTATATTTTTAA